TCGTCATTATCAAATTTAACGCAAACAGCATTAGTATAGGAGGCAACATCTAACATTACACTCCAGATCCAAAAAGAATAGTCTACTTAATTCATATGAAAAAATAAAAAGACTAGTAGTCGCTGATTTTTTGTGTTCACCTGACGAATTTTTATAACACGCGTAAGAGCGAGTCGAAAAAAATATTTTGAAAGAAACTATGCGGAAAAAGACTTTCCTGATTTTATTTTTCTTAAATAGTTTGGAAATAGCTATTTGTGTGCTAGAAAGGCAAAGCCCAGCTATTTTGATATGTTTGATAATATTACAAAAGCAGCATATTTTTTTGCACTAGAATTGTAAATGAATTTTCTTCCTAAAACTGCAGCAATTTGATATTTTAATATACGTGATTTCTCATTTTCAAAGCCTCAGTCATAAACGAAAGTCAATTTCACATTACTGTATGCAAAAAGGGACCAAGCGAATTGGATGCAAATATGTATATGAGCCCCTTCCCACTTCAGTTGGCCCAACTATTGAAATCTTAGTTTTTTTCTTATCAAACACAAATAACAAAATTGTAGCAGGGTGGTATAGGTTTAAAATATTAACAATGAATATTTTGATAATATATAGTACAAACCCCAACTTTATCACTCCCTAATCAAATTTGCAGCATAAAGATAACACATGTTGCAATTACAGCATATCAACCTATTTTCATTTCAATGCAAAATAAGTCTATAACGCATAGGTGGCTGTGAAAAATAAAACCCATGACAATTGTTTTTATTAATCACCGCTGTCAGAATATTGTTAAAATAGTTTTCGAAATGGGTAGAGGAAAGGTTATTAGTTAGAAAATTCGGTTACTGATAATTAAATTTTTTAATTTTGGGAAATCAAACTCAGAAATTGCAACTTTGTTAGACTTATCGCGGTACAGTGTGAGAAATATTGTTAGAAGATATAACGTAACTGGTTCAGTTAATATTAAGCCACGATATGTGAAAAAAAGTAATATCACAAATGCCGACCGAAGAACATTAAGAAGAATTATCGTGAAAAACAGGCGTGCCAATTATTTACAATTAAGTGCTCTGTGGAGTGACGCTGTTGGAAGGAGAATTTCGAGGTCCACAACTCATAGAGAGAACCACAAACAGGGATTTAGCACTTGCAATGTAAGTTTTCTTATGAAAAAAAGTGAAGTAAAAACCCTAAAGCTGCACAGCTTGTTTATAGGCAAGAGAAAAGCCATAACTCCACTGCAAAAGAAAAATCGGGTTAGATGGACTAAAGAACATAGACAATGGACACCTCAACAATGGTGTGCGATACAATGGAGTGATGAGGACCGATTCGAAGTTTGTGTTGGTGACAGTCGCAGTTGAGTTATTCGCAAAAAAATGAAGCATTCCATGTTGACTGTCTGAAGAGAGAAGTGAAATTTCCAGCATCTATTATGGTCTGGGGCAGTATGTCATCAAAAGGAGTAGGAAAACTTCATTTTATTGATGGAAATGTGGATACAAACAAATATTTGGCAATTTTAGAAGAATCGCTTTTACCAGTGATGGAAGAAATACCTCAAAAAAGGCTATAAAATGGATGGAAGAAAATAATGTACCACTTTTGAAATGGGTTTCTAGCAGTCCAGATCTGTCACCTACTGAAACTTTGTGGCACGAGATGAAAAAGGTTCTACGACAACATCCTGCTCGTACAATCACCGAACTGAGACAAAAGCTTCAAGAAATATGGGATTGTTTTACACCAAATTTTTGCCAAAACCTGATTAACACTATGCCCCAAAGAATTTCATGCGTAATAAAAAATAAAGGTGATGTTACCCAATGGTAATCTTTTAATTGTTGCTTTGTTAACATCGCGCATTTATTCGCACATTGTTTATTTGTTCAGATGTTCTATTAGTTATAGGTCTAAGTGATTTAAAATATGTATTTTTTACGACTAAAGTGTATCTAAAATGTTTTTGAAAAAATAAATTGTTTTAGAAGTAAACAGTTTCGTCATGTTTAGTTTATAAAAGCATATTTTGGTACAAATCTTGAAGTGGCCCAACTGAAGTGGGAAGATGCTCGTATATCACCAATTACCACTGCCTAAAGCTTACAATTCTCTACTCTTGGTTGCTGGAACATACGATTTAGGTCCAATGGTCCGTTCCCCAAATAGGACGTTCTTGGAACGACCCATTGTTGTCGTTCCTGTTCCTGCGACGCATTTTTAGGCTTTATTCGTTGCCAGAGTCACTATTTTACAAGTTCTTTCCAGGAAATAGAACGCAGTCACGATGTCGATCCATACGGTTAAAATTCTATTGTTGTACATAATGGTTATATTTATTTCACTTTCATATAAATATTTTCATTCACATTAAGATGAAGAAGATCGTAAAATTATTGTTCCTGGATCGCCCAACGGCGCTCTCCCTGGAATCGTTTTTTTGCGATGAAATTGGTCCACGGACGTCCCTGGAACGTCTTTACGCTTCAGGCGACCTACCGGGAACGTTTTCCGGGTTGCACGCGGTCCGGGAACGTCTTTGTCACGTATTTGTGAAGTTTGTGGACACCTCGAATTTGGACTATCCTCGCATCAGGCGGTAGGCCAGCCTCCATGACATAAGTAAAGTTGTGCCTTTCCTTTCAAGGAACAACTACATTTGAAACAACAAAGGTAGTTTGTGGAAAACATCAGCTAAAACGTGAAAAAAAAATTGATGAAAAATATGCACTATTTATTTGTTAAGATATTTTAACCACTGCCTTGTCACATTTTGTTTGTAAATACTTTTTGAAGTTGTCGCTATTCGACTCAAAAACGCGCATTTGGTTACTTCCTTCGTAGGGTTGTCTACGTCTTCCACCGAGTCCGCCCTGACAGCTTTTGCATTATAAGTCAAACACACTATCGGAGTATCAATATGATCTTGAAAACGCTCACAATAAACTAACATCTGATTGATAACTACATTATTGCTGTAGGAATATAATAAAGCAGCGCCTGATTTAAATACTGACTCACATCGTACCAGAAAGCTTATATTGGGTGGCTCATCGAAAACGAAACGGACGCATTTACTGGCAGCTCAGTTTTTTTTTTAAAAACGCTCAGACCCGTCGGTTTTGTTTTAGAGGGGGACACAAGTTTGGAAAAAAATCACGTTAACACGTGCAGCCCCCTGGGCGGGGGTGACACCAACCCCAAAAATCTAAAATCGAGTGATACCTTATATTAAAGGTCTTTCAATTCCCTTTCTAATCATGTAAAATACATGAGCTTCAGTTCAGCAGTTTTGAAGATTTATTGATTTAAAGCTTAAAGTAGACTTTAATAGGTACATCAGATTAGTTTGTACTACTTTCAGAAGACATTTGACTAAAAGAATTTACTTATTAATTAAATGCTTTTCTTCGCTACACCCATGGTTTTTTTATCATTTTGTTGTTGAAAATAGCTATTGAAGCGTTTTTTTGTGGCAAAAAAGTTATTTCTTGAAGAAAGGTAAGGAAATATCTCGTACTTATTTTAAATAGGAATTTAGTACATAGTTTTCGATTGATTTGACCAAACTTTTTTGCTAAAATAACGTGTAACCCTTTATTACATAAATTAACAATGGTATATTCCACACCAGAAAGAGTTGAAATTATCGAAATATTTTTCGAAAATAATCAGTGCGCTAATAGAACAGCAGAAATATTTAATGAGCGACATGAAAACAATAACGTGCATCGAAAATATGTTCTAGAACTTGTAGCTAAATTTCTGGAAACTCGGTCAGTCGCCAATAGAAAACGCAACATTGAAAATCCCTTAAGGAACGAAGCAATAGAAGTGGGGATTTTAGGGTAAGTTTATGCAGATCCTACGTTAAGTACCCGCAAATTGGAGACTGTGTGTGATGTACTGTCCAACGGATTCTAAAGGCCCAAAGTTTTCACCGCATAAAATTCACCTGGTACAAGAACTTAATGAAGACGATTTTAATCGGCGATTACAATTTTGTGAAGATATGAGTGAACGAATTATAAACGATGAACATTTTCTATTCAACACTTTCTTTTCCGGCGAATGTTCTTTTTTCTTAAATGGCGTAGTAAATCGTCATAACTGCCGATATTGGTCCGATTCTAATCCCAGAATTTATCATGAGGTTCATATACAGCAGCCACAAAACTTAAATGTTTGGGCTGGTATTTTTGGCGATCTTTTAGTTGGTCCTCTTTTCTTGCCTGGAAATTTGACCGGTGAAATGTATTTGGAATTACTGGACGACGCCATATATCCTGCATTAACGATCGGCGGTACATTGCGAATAGGTTGATGTTCCAGTAGGATGGTGCCCCACCACATTACGCATTACATGTTCGTCAATATTTAGATCAGACGTTTCCAGATCGATGGATTGGTAGAAGAGGTGCCAATGAATGGCCCCCAAGATCGTCAGATTTATCACCTTTGGATTTCTTTATGTGGGCTCATTTAAAAAGTAAAATCTATGCTATTCAGCCAACATCATTAGAAGACCTGCGAAAAAACTACTGAATTGAAGTACATTAATTTTATATCATTATAAAGGGAATTGAAAGACCTTTAAAATAAGGTATCACTCGACCCCCCTTACCATTTAAGATTTTGGAGGTGGTGTCACCCCCGCTTAGGGGGTTGCACGTGCTAAAGTGATTTTTTTTGCAAACTTGTGTCCCCCTCTAAAACAAAATCGACGGGTCTGAGCGTTTTTCAAAAATAAAAACTGACCTGCCAGTAAATGCGTCTGTTTCGTTTTCGATGCACCACCCTGTATATCTTTTGTGTAAGCGTTACTAGGAAAGCTTGCTTATTGTTGCCCGCCCTGTTTTGCCTCTTCTCGTTCATAGAAAAAGTTAAAACATTGCAGAGATTACATAGACCATGTGTATCTTATCAGATTTTATCATATCCTATAAAATATTCACTTTGCACATAGCTAGAATAAATTAGGCGCATTCAGGGAACTGCCAATGCTAGTACTACTTAAGGTGCCGTTCTGCTTGCATATATCGAACGAAGTCGCAACACTTATGGCGGAGCACCCATAGGTAAAGTCAGTCAGTGTCATTGTGAGATACTCAAATTTAAATTTCAAAAATTCCTCTGTCATGATATGTTAATATGAATTTAAGTACTTTATAGTGTCAGTAAAGGATGCTCATGGTCCATAAGAGGGAATTTCGGCTCTGAAGGTAACTCAAATTTACGTTGATGACATAATTAAAATTTTTATTATGCAAATTTTTCAGAACATATTTTGAGTATTCATCAATATTCATTAGCACTAGTTGTTCTTTCACAGCACAAAGATCGCAATTTTGCCATTTTCATCCAAAATCGCATGGAAAACATTTACGAATATTACCACAAAAGTTACCATTCCTTACGAGATTACGGCACAATTTCCTCGTACAAATCAGTGCGGTCACAATAAAAAATGGCGTCAAGGAGATTGACTTTATGCATTCGAAAAAACGTCTGGTACAATTTTGCATGTAGTGCAATGACATTAAAAAGACGTAGATTTTGTCAGAACCCGTAATGTACAACTTATGGTTTTCATGAAAAGACTTTGCCTCAGACTGCAGTAATAAGCGTATCTGTACACCGGAGCCTCATCTTTTTCGAGCTCTGATAACTGACTGTAATAGCTCCTGATAAGTACTTATATTGCGTCGCGAAATCAAATGACATAACACCTCAAGCATAACATTCATACCATCCGAATCATCCGCGTTTGAGGTACGCCAGGTATCAATGGTGACGCACCGCATATGCGATGGATAGACGAGTTTTAAGAGCAAATAAACCCTATGATGTCTGAAATATGTCTGATTGGTGCGTAGAATTACCGTTGACATCAAAAAATTGCACTACACCCTCCCCCACCCCTCTACAACCCTAAACCCCCAACGTTTTACCTATGAAATGTTTTTCAAAAATTATCAGGATCCTGTGAAACAACAAAAAACCGGACAAACTTCCAAAAACTATCAGGCTTTTTTGTTCTTGGCATAGTAGAAACTATGTGTATAAATTTCATCCAAATCCGCTAAGTACTTTCCAAGTTGTAAGAGCTCTAAAGATTAGCGGACAAACCGACAGACAGACCAACAGACAGGCGAAAACGAATGACATGTTTTTTCGAAATTTTTTGCGATTACAATACCTCCCCGTCAGTAGGCGTGGATCGTAGCAGTTGTAACAAATGCATACGCAACCATAATGAGACTTCAACTTTTGTTTTAATTGTGAGCGCAGTTGTGCAACAATTTTATTTTTATGTTTTGTGTATTTTAGTATACAGTACTGACGAAAGCCATTTTCTGTTTTACTTTTCTATGTTTAAGAGAGAGAAGAGAGAGAGCGTGTTGCAGTCACACTTCGCGCCCTCTCCCACTGTCATTGCCTGGCAACGTGGTGACGACGCTTATATGGTGCACTGTTTCTAACATGCTCCTGTCTCTTGTACACATGGATATCTAAAAGAGGAAAGGACTGTGACCAGCACTATATATTTCAACGGATTATTAGGAAAATTCACTCATATAAAAATGATAACCTAAATATACGAAAAAGCAGTAATAAGATAAACACAAAATGGATGATGAAAACTTAAAATACAGTTTCTAAAATATTTAAATTCCAAAATTTCATACGAGCCCCTTCCCACTTCAGTTAGCCTACTTCAAGATTTGTACCAAAATATGCCTTTATAAACTAAACATGACGAAACTATTTACTTCTAAAACAATTTATTTTCTCAAAAACATTTTAGATACACTCTAGTCGTAAAAAATACATATTTGAAATCACTTAGACCTATAACTAATAGATCATCTGAACAAATAAACAATGTGCGAATAAATGCGCGAAGTTAACAAAGCAACAATTGAAACATTACCATTGGGTAACATCACCTTTATTTTTTATTACGGCTGAAATTCTTTGGGGCATAATGCCAAGTTTTGGCAAACATTTGATGTAAAACAATCCCATATTTCTTGAAGCTTTTGTCTCAGTTCGGTGATTGTACGAGCAGGGTGTTGTCGTAGAACCTTTTTCATCTCGTGTCACAAAGTTTCAATAGGTGACAGACCTGGACTGCTAGAAACCCATTTCAAAAGTGGTACATTCTTTTCTTCCATACATTTTATAGCCATTTTTGAGGTATGGCACGCTGCACCATCTTGCTGAAACACAAAATCTTGGCCGGATGTCAAACATTCTTCCATCACTGGTAAAAGCGATTCTTCTAAAATTGACAAATATTTGTTTGTATCCACATTACCATCAATAAAATTAGGTTTTCCTACTCTTTTTGATGACATACTGTGCCAGACCATAATGGATGCTGGAAATTTCACTTTTCTCTTCAGACAGTCAACATGGAATGCTTCATTTTTTTGCGAATAAGTCTACTGCGGCTGTCACCAACACAAACTTTGAATCGGGCCTCATCACTCCATTGTATTGCACACCATTGTTGAGGTGTCCATTGTCTATGTTCTTTAGCCCATCTAAGCTGATTTTTCTTTTGCAGTGGAGTTAATAGTGGCTTTTCTTTTACCTATAAACAAGTTGTGCAACTTTAGGGTTTTTACTTCACTTTTTTATAAGAAAACTTACCTTGCAAGTGCTAAATCCCAGTTTGTGGGCCTCTCTATGAGTTGTGGGCCTCGAAATTCTCCTTCCAATAGCGTCACTTCACAGAGCACTTAATTATAAATAATTGGCACGCCTGTTTTTCGTGATTATTCTTCTTAATGCTCTTCGGTCGGCATTTGTGATATTACTTTTTTTCACATATCGTGGCTTAATATTAACTGAACCAGTTACGTTATATCTTCTAACAATATTTCTCACACTGTACCGCGATAAGTCTAACAAAGTTGCAATTTCTGAGTTTGATTTTCCAGAGTTAACAAAATCAATTATCAGTAACCGAATTTTCTCACTAATAACCTTGCCTCTACCCATTTTGAAAACCTTAACTACCCAAAACTATTTTAAACGTATTCTGACAGCTGTGATTAATAAAAAGAATTGTCATGGCTTTTATTTTTCACAGCCACCTATGCGTTATAGACTTATTTTGCATTGATATGCTGTAATTGCAACATTTTTATTATTTGTGTTTGATAAGAAAAAAACTAAGATTTCAACTGAAGTGGATCCTAACCTTCTGGATATCAGTATTTCACTTGACATTGATAGATTTGTGTATGGATGCCCTACCACTAGTCTCGCAACTCGTTCACCATTCGTCAGCCGCTTGCAAAAGCTCTAAAGGGCTGTGGTATTTTTAATGCGGCCATCGAAACTTCCGGATCTATACCCTATTCGTAATCCATTTACGCCGCAGGACAACAAAGATGCGGCGCGGCAATAAAATTACAAACAAGTGCAGGATTCGACAGGGTAGAACTCAGGCTCGGGGTATCGCCGACACGCCGACGCCGGCAGTTGCTTTTCACATTCGGTGCATACATAGCGTGTCTTTATACGTTACCATGTCGTCTACGGATACAGCAGATGAAAATGAGAATATTTCTCCCAATGCTTCCTTCAGCCATGCTTCTTCTTCAGGCAAAATAAATTGTCCTTAACTTTTATAAGAGCGAAATTTAAGAGCATCCTGAAATATGAAAATTCATGATACTGGAAAACGTATTGCGGACAAAACAGGCTTCTGTCCTAAGACAATTTTCAACATTGTTAGAGAATATAAAAAAAAACAAAAAATTGTCTCCACCACACAAGAGGTTGCATTACACGAAGCTGTTGGATACAGTTGACAACTTTGATCGGCAGGAATTTCCCACCATAGAGAAAGTATTACAGGAGGTTAATAGTGATGAAGACTTTCCTACTTTCAAAAGGACCACATTCTATAGTTTACCCAAGCGACTTTATTTTGAGTATAGAAAATGTGGCAGATATAGTATTTTGATGGACAGCCAAGAGATTATTTTATGGAGAAAAAAGTATTTGAAATCAATTAAGAAATACCGCGACCAGGGCAGGAAGACTTATTACTTGGATGAAATCTGGATAAATGCAGGACATACAAAACCTACAGTATGGGCTGACTCTACAATTAAATCAGCAAAACAAGCGCTCTTAGCTACACTAAACTTTGCTATATCTGGTAGATTTGGAACCAACACATGTTAGATAATGTGCTTGGAAGTGGACGGGAGTTTATTTGAACGATGGTTTGAAGAAACGTTCCCAAAGCTTGACGACGTAATTATACTTGATAATGCTGCATATCGCACTAGAAACCTAGAAAAAATTCCCACAATGTCCACAAGAAAGGCAGAAATTCAGCAATGGCTCCAATCAAAATACATTAGTTTCAATGAAAATATGATCAAAGCAGAACTTATGCATCTAGTCAGGCAGCACCAATACAAAACATAATCTTAATGTTATTGACGAGGTGGCTAAAACCCTCTTATCACTGCGAATTAAATTCCACTGAAATGATTTGTGCAAATATAAAAAACTATGTGGCTTCAAACAATAGAACATTGAAATTTTCTGATGTGAAAAATTTGTTCTATGAAGATGTCAACAGAGTGACGGCAAACCGTTGGAAAGATTGAATCCGTCATGTTCTAGAGACAATCGAAACAAAGATGTGGGATCTGGACAATATGATCGATATTCAAATTGAACCTGTAATAATTAACGATGATTCAAGTACTCCAGGGGATAATGAATTGTGAAAAGTGTATGCACTTCGTTCTATAAAAATAATCATTTATCTTGTTAGATTATTCCAAGACCACTGATGAAAATACGGACCTGTCCAATCTCGCTTTTGGGTATTTTGTGTTTTGTCTGGACGTAAATGGACTACGAATTTGGTATAGACGCTCCATGCGTCGCGGCGCGCATTTCAAACAACTGTCACCGCCATAGCCGCCTGTGACCCCGGCAGCATCAATCGATTCACGATGTGCGGGTCGCTGCTGCGTACACCAATCGCGCAAGCCCCTTTCCCATCATTCCACGGCCAACCTCGATCCGCGAACACGAAAAAAATGCCCGCTGTGCTTGTGTGATAATGTGATCTAGTGACCAGTGGTGCGATCAGGCTAGAGGAGATATGCCGTGTTTCAGCGGTCCGAAACACGACCGCAATTTGTGACCGGCATGGGAAACCTACAGACGGGAGAAGCCAAAGTCGGGAAGAGCAAGGGGTAACTTTTTGGTCAGGCGTGGAAGGTTTTTCTATGAATGCGGAGATGGAACTAGGATTATTTAAGGAAATGCAAAGATACCAAATCCCCTAAGATACTTTTGAGAGAGGCTAGGGTCTATAGCTTTATTGGTTTTGCTTTTGGGAGGGGTTGCTGTCACTTTCAAAAGAAAAACAAAAGATAAGGCATTCAACTAATTTAAGCAAAACTTTTTTCAATTTCACTAACAGAAGAGTCACGCACTACATAGTTTCAGAACTTTAGAGTTTGACTATCTATCAAATTCATCAGAGGTTTGGAAAACATACAAGGGCGAAAATTAGCTTACGAAACATTAGTACCTCTAAAAATGACATGAAGGTCGAAAGCATACAGAAACAAAGTTTACAGTAAAAAAACCTGAACTAGGTATTATTAACAATAAGATTACTTCTGGAAACATTAGCTGTTTGGTTGTTTTCTGTCCTTCAACGCCCAACGTGTAGACAATTTTGAATGCAAATAGAAACAAAGTTTATATTCAAACCAAGCATGAGCTATTTTTATTAACAACAAGATCAGTCTGACTCTGGAACTATAAGTTGTTTGGTTATTTTGTCTTGCACCACGCAACGTTGTTACAAAAAAGTGATGATGCATTTTTTGAGTGTAACTTGTAAGTTTCTTGAAATGTCTCAAGTTTATGAAATAATGATTTTTTTATTTTATGATTTTCCATAGCACAAATAGTCCTGGATTAAGAGCTGTTGGAATAATGTATTTCAAAATTCAGATACGTAGTTAGACCATTATGACGCATCTGAGAAATGCGTAATATAAAATATATGTACTAAAAAAATGACAACAAAAAACGAAGATTATTTGCTAGATGCGTAAAATAAAATACCTACAATATACACAGGGTGTCCCGCGAGGTAAGGGACAAAAAATTTTTGCGTGTTCCTCAGGTCAATTCGAGTCGAAAAAGTCGTATGACTATGCCGCAAATGCTTCCTTATCGAGATACCATTTTTTTATTTCTAGTGGGCGAAAACCACAATATTGTTAGAAAATTGCTTTTATTTAACAAAAAATTTAATGCTGTTCATATGAAAACAACTGTTTACAATAATTAAAGTCCTCATTCACGTTGTACTGCCCGATTAATACGCTGGTGTTTGTTTGTTGACGGAGTAGCTGTGTCAGTTTGATTGAACTTTACAAAAAATAATGTCATGTTTGTTTTTGCAAGTGAGGAATACGGTGACATGATGTTTGTCTACCAGATATTGCAACGGAAATGGCAGAGCATCAGTGAACGAATACCGCCGCCGGTATCCAGATCGAAGAATACCTGACATAAGGGTATTTGGCACATGTGAAAGTAGCAGGATCGGTTCCAAATGATACTGTAACACGTCCATCAGAAGCTGCCCATGGATTAGTACTGGAGATAGTGATGAACGGTCACCATCAACCAGCGTCCGCAGAATATCACGTCGCACTGGTGTTAGCCGAATGACTGTGTGGAGAACAATGCATAACTTTGGTTTGTACCCATTTCATCTGCAACCTGTCCAAGCTCTGCTGCTCACTGATCCGGACCGTCGTATGCAGCTTTGTAACTGACTCCTCGCAAATCGTTATCTTGTTAAAAAGACTTTGATCACCGACGAATCTACTTTTACTTTAATGTCTGGTGCGGTTTGTTAGGGGATCACTTAGTTGACCCTGTTGTGATTGACGGTCGCTTGACATCTGAAGTTTATCTTCAATTCTTACGAGAAGAACTGCCTATGTCGTTAGAGGATATTCCGCTGCAGAGATGACAACAGATGTGGTTACAGCATGACGGTGACCTGCCCCACAGTGAAAGAAATGTGACTGAGTATTTAAATAACACTTTTCCTGGGCGTTCGATTGGACGAGGGGGCGCAGCTTCTTGGCCACCCCGCTCGCCCGATTTCAATCGCTTGGATTATTACTTGTGAGGACATATGAAGTCTTTAGTGTATGCAGAGAAATCGTATACCAGGGCTGAACTGCTCCGTAAAATTACTGATGTCGCTGACGACATAAGAAGCAAACGTCTTGTTATTGGAAAAGCCACCAGTCACATTATTAAACGGGCTAGACTATGTTGACAGTGTGAAGGTGGACACTTTGAACAAATATCGTAAATAGTTATTTTTATTGTACCTAGCAATTTTGTGTTAAATAAAAGTAATCTTCCAAAAATATTGTGGTTTTCCCACCATTAGCACCCTAAAAATAAAAAAATCATTATCTCGATCAGGAAGCATTTGCGGACCCATGTTCATAGGATTTTTTTTACTCGAATTGACCTGTGGAACACGTAGAGAAATTTTGTCCCTTACCTCGCGGGACACCCTGTAGATTATACGAAGGGTACCTACTAGAAAACAAATCTACCTAGCCATGAAACAAAAGGCGTACGATTTTTTTGAGATAATTTCATTTTTTAATATAATCCCCCCTCTACATCAATGCACCTACGCGATTTCTTCTCCACTTCTCCTTATAAAAAAAATGTTTCCTCTTGAAACTCAAAAAAATCATCGGCTACTGCCTTTAGGTCATCATTTGAGTCAAAACGACATTCTCGAAGATTTTTTTAGTAATCTAGAGAAATAAAAGTCCGGACTATAGGGAGGATGGTATATCTCAACGAAACTGCATCGCATTGTCAAGCAGCAGAAACATTTCTCGACTGGAAAAATCGGGACTTTACTGGTTGATAGATTTACGTACATTTTTCAGCGTGTTTTCATAAACATTAGCATTTATTATTGTCCTTTTTGTCAGATATTTAATGAAAAGGATGCGGCAGATGTCCCAAAAACTGTTGCCAGCAATTTTCCAGCAGAAAGTTGTGTCCGCGCATTTTTTGGAGGCTGGGGACCTTTTATGAACCCACTGCTTGGATTTTGTTTGTCCCAGGATCCCAATGATGCATCCTCGACTCGTCGCCTGTCACAATTTGTGCCAAAAAGTCGGAATCGTTGGTCAAACAGTCGTGGAACTAAGTTTTGGACCACAATTTTGTTGTGTAATATGATGGTCCATCATCACATTAAACGCCAAACATTCTCTAGGCTGATGGTCCCCTTTTGTTAGAAATTTTATGACAGTGCGATACTCTAATTTTGAGTTTCTCATGTTTCCTGACAATTCAGCTCATAATTGGAAAGTAATTGCTAAAATTAACTCAAAATCTGCAAGTAAAGTTAGAACAAATGCCATTATTTAGCATATTACGCTTGTGCGTTTCAATTGCTTTTTCGTGACTAGGAGATATCTTTTCTAGTGTCTCCTGTATTAGCTCGTTCTAAATCATTGAGATACTTAGCTTACTCCCAATTAGCGAGACGTCAACATAAAAATTAGGCTGATGAAATTAACTTTACAATTCTATACGAAATGAAATATTGCTATTTTATAGGGAGAAACTAGTTCAACTCTGTATTCCCCAGACATTTATAAGCCACCCACACACATTTTAGCACTGAATATATTGTTCGACTCTTTTCGGAATGTTAAAAAATAGACAAAGAATTGCAGCCTTGAAGAAATTAAATACATCTCAAAGTGATCAAAAAACTTAAACAAAATTGATGTTCCAAGTACTGCATTTTTGATAGTACTGACTCCTCAGACAACTTTCACTGATAACGCCTATACATGATAAACATAATAACGATTAACTTTTGTTTTTTGTTTTTTTATAGCAACTCCACGAATGCTACTAAGATCGCGAAATCAAACCATGTCTAGGTGTCAAGTTCCGTCTACATCAATGTCCTGCCAAAAAATGGAACCTCAATGATTTAAAGAATCACTAACGTTTGGACTGCTCTGGCGGCATATTTCAATATACAACACAAGAAAATGAGTTTCAGATGAGTGTTAAAAATGCCACTTGGATGAAAAATTAGCACCTGTATTATCTACTAAAGTCAATTCCGCTCTAAGCGCTAAGCAAAATAGTGAAAATATCACCTTACCCCCTTTGACGGGAGTGCAGGGGGTAGAAAGGCAAGGGGTGAATATACCACACAGGCCTACAAAGACATATATGTTTACATTACATGTGACATGTAATTTCCGATGCATTTTTGTCTTCTGAATACGAATCCGTGGTAAGTTTTGCTCAACCTTCACTTTTCAGACAATTGATAAAAATTTTCAGAAAATAAAAAATTTCGAGTGATTACTTCTGAACATGCGATATATAATTTGGGATAATTTTTGTTTTCTGAACTCGAATTCGTGGTGATTTTAATTCTATTACCAACCATTACTTCATTTTTGTGAAGGTTTTTTGCAATTTTCTGAAGACTGAAGGAGGATGGGGTAAAACTGACTAATTCGTGATCAGAAGACAAAAATGCATCGAAAATCATAAGTCACATGGAAAGATACCAGTATTTGTAGGTCTGAGTAGTAAATCCGCCACTTGCCTTTTTACACCCTGCACATTGCTCATATGAGGTAAAAAGGCAAAAAGTGATAAATAAGAATGAAAAAAGTTTAATTTGGACTTTCTCACGTGCAAAAACCACGAAACATCTTTCACTATTTTTATCACTTACTAGTAATTTGAACTTCTCCTTATTAATGGTAGGGTGCCGATTCTTAGGCCAAATCCTCTTTAATAATTTTCTTTTGGCAAATTTCATAATTTATTGATTGTATAATTTCACACGTATTATATATTTCTTTCTCAGCGACTCAGTATTGGGTTGAAATCTTTTGGACACTATAGTATTACTAACGACTATCTCTGAAATTTCCTCATAAAAAGCGTTGGTTCCTCGTAGGTTTGGTTCCGCCTATCGGCAATCAGCGCTAACCTGTGATTTCTGTACGTACTAGCCTGTATAGGAATATTTGGATTCCTATACACATACCTTCTTTTAAAAATTACGTGTACAGAAGGGGCAGCGACATTTTCTTTTGCTTTCTGCTGATGCTTTTGGTTGCGGCGTGGGTCGTTCGTTTAATTTCCGGATTCTGCCATATTACCCCCAAACATCAGATAATGAAGTACGAGCTCCTTCCAACTTCATTTGGCCCAACTATTGAAGTTTTTTTCTTATCAAACACAATAAAAATGTAGCTGGGTGTGTATAGGTTTAAAATAGTAAAAATGAAAATTTTGATAATATATAGTAGAAAACACCAACTTTATCACTACCTAATCAAATTTGCAGCATAAAAATAACACATGTTGCAATTACAGCATATCAACCTATTTTCATTTCAATGCAAAATAAGTCTATAACGCATAGGTGGCTGTGAAAAATAAAAGCCATGACAATTGTTTTTATTAATCACAGCTGTCAGAATAGGTTTAAAATAGTTTAGGGTAGTTAAGGTTTTCAAAATGGGTAGAGGAAAGGTTATTAGTGAGAAAATTCAGTTACTGATAATTAAATTTTTTAATTCTGGGAAATCAAACTCAGAAATTGTAACTTTGTTAGACCTATCGCGGTACAGTGTGAGAAAAAAAAATTGTTAGAAGATATAACGTAACTGGTTCAGTTAATATTAAGCCACGATATGTGAAAAAAGTATCACAAATGCCGACCGAAGAGCATTAAGAAGAATAATCGTGAAAAACAGGCGTGCCAATTATTTAAAATTAAGTGCTCTGTGGAGTGACGCTGTTGGAAGGAGAATTTCGAGGTCCACAACTCATAGAGAGGCCCACAAACTGGGATTTAGCACTTGCAAGGTAAGTTTTTATAAAAAACAGTGAAGTAAAAACCCTAAAGCTGCACAACTTGTTTAGGCCAAAGAAAAGCCACTATTAACTCCACTGCAAAAGAAAAATCGTCTTAGATGGGCTAAAGAACATAGACCATGGACACCTCAACAATGGTGTGCAATACAATAGAGTGATGAGGCCCGATTCGAAGTTTGTGTTGGTGACAGTCGCAGTAGAGTTATTCGCTAAAAAATGAAGCATTTCATGTTGACTGTCTGAAGAGAAAAGTGAAATTTCCAGTATCCATTATGGTCTGGAGCAGTATGTCATCAAAAGGAGTAGGAAAACTTCATTTTATTGATGGAAATGTAGATATAAACAAATATTTGGCAATTTTAGAAGAATCGCTTTTACCAGTGATGGAAGAATGTTTGACATCCGGCCAAGATTTTGTGTTTCAGCAAGATGGTGCAGCGTGCCATACCTCAAAAAAGGCTATAAAATGGATGGAAGAAAATAATGTACCTTTTGAAATGGGTTTCTAGCAGTCCAGATCTGTCACCTATTGAAACTTAGTGGCACGAGATGAAAAAGGTTCTACGACAACATCCTGCTCGTACAATCACCGAACTGAGACAAAAGCTTCAAGAAATATGGGATTGTTTTACACCAAATTTTTGCCAAAACTTGGTTACCCAATGGTAATCCTTCAATTGTTGCTTTGTTAACTTCGCGCATTTATTCGCACATTGTTTATTTGTTCAGATGTTCTATTAGTTATAGGTCTAAGTGATTTCAAATATGTATTTTTTACGACTAGAGTGTATCTAAAATGTTTTTGAGAAAATAAATTGTTTTAGAAGCAAATAGTTTCGTCATGTTTAGTTTATAAAGGCATATTTTGGTACAAATCTTGAAGTGGGAAAACTGAAGTGGGAAGGGGCTCGTAGTACCCTTTTATTTTGTACCTTACGTTTAGTTGTTTTGGTTCGGGTGCTACCCGTCCATTTTCTTATGGGATTTTAACCCATAGCGTGGAAAGGCATGGGCGGAGAACCACCATTCACACTCCAGCTTTGTGTTGTAGCTGCCTTGTAGCTGTATTGCACCCGATTTGGCTGGAAGCCACCCCTTCCCCTTGACAAAAAACCCTGTTCACATCATTTTCAGTCGTACAATATTAAGAAAGTATTGGGTTGCCAGTGATGAATGTTTCCAAAATCATTATTAGATGATGGTATTTTCACAATCGTAAGGAGTGGTTGGAGGACACTAGGAGGGGTGGAGGTGGTCCGTTTAGGGTGGAATCGATTTAGTTTTTTAGTAGAAACTACATGAACTGCTTTTAAACATTTTCGTTCAAATTAAATTTAGCCTTATTAACCCTCCTTGTTTTCAAGATGAAAGTTAACTCATCATTGACACTTTGTAACGGTGATTTTTTAAGAGGTGTAGGATTTGATTTTCAAAAAAAACACAAAAATTTGAAAAAGCGATTAAATCTCTATTTGAGTCGATAGAACGGTCGATATAATTTAATGTTTAAAGATTATTTCATGTAAATGTTGGCCGCGGCTCCGCTTTAGATGGCCCATGCGCAAGGTCCAATTTTGGCACACTCTCTCCAATATATCTGCCAGTATCTCACGAATAAATGCTTCAATATTGGCTTCCAGTGCGTCAATCGTTGCTGGTTTATCCCTGTAGACATTAGCCTTAACATGGCCCCACAAGAAATAGTCCAACGGCGTTAAATCACACGATCTAGGCGGCCAATTGACGGGCTCCAAACGTGAGATAAACTGTTCACCGAACTCACCTCTCAATAGGGCCATTGTTTCGTGTGCTGTGTGGCATGTGGCACCGTCTTGTTGAAACCACATGTCAGCCAAGTCCAGCGCTTCCATTTTGGGCAAAAAAAAGTGTTATCATCGCACGGTAGCGCTCGCCATTCACAGTTACGTTCCGGCCATTGTCGTCTTTGAAGAAGTACGGCCCGATGATGCCACCGGCCCATAATCCACACCAAACAGTGATTTTTTCGGGATGCATTGGTAGCTCTTGCAATGGTTCTGGCTGGTCTTCACTCCAGATGCGGCAATTTTGCTTGTTAACGTGCCCATTCAACCAGAAATGAGCTTCGTCGCTGAACACAATTTTTCGATAAAAATGTGGATCTTCCTCCAACTTCGCCAGCGCCCATTCATCAAATGGGAAACGTTGTGGGAGGTCGTGTGACTTCAATTCTTGCACCAGCTGTATCTTATAAGGTTTTACACCCAAATCCTGTCGCAAAATTTTCCACGTAGTGGAGTAACAGAGGCCCCATTGCTGCGAACGGCGGCGACTCGACATTTCACGGTCATCACTAACACTGGCGGATACAGCCGCAATATTTTCTTCAGTCCTCACTCTACGTCTGCGTGTTGGTGGTTTAATGTCCAATAATGTAAACTGGGTTCGGAATTTAGTCACAAGCATCCGAATAGCTCCCTCAGTAGGCCGACCAAATTGCCCATAAATTGGAAGCAGTGCTCGATGCACTCTCTTAACCGAGCATGAATTTTGATAGTAAAATTCAATAATTTGCGAGCGTTGTTCGTTAGTAAGTCGATTCATGGTTAAATTATAGACCAAACTGAACAAGTTTGACAATGACACAAGACACGATTCACGCGTCATCTGTCAAAAACAGTGTTGCCAAAAAGATACTAGCAAAAAAATCACCCATTATTATCCAAGATCCATCTCCGCTATTCGTAAAACCAAACGCCCATCTACCATAAACGACAATTTTCCATAGGAAAACAAAAGGAAAGCGCGGAAAAAAAGGCGGAAAGTACGATGACGACTTCACGGGCGTGGTGCCGGAGGAGATGGAGGCGGGAATCGGAACGACAACCACCTTGAAACGACCTGCTCCTCAACCTCTAAAGCCGTCTCAACAGATCATCGTGACCGATTCTTGGTGCGAGGTCAATCAAGCATCTGCCGGCGTTCAAAAGGTAAATCAGTTGACAGCTATTAATTTTACGAAACGGGTGTCTGCTAGACACGCGACATGGTGAAATCATATTTAACTGATGATTGAGGAGAAAACAATAATTTTATTCAAATATTCGACGCAAACATTCAAACCAAGTTTTCTCTAAAAATTGTGGTCTGAAAAGTTTCTGTTGGAAAATAACACAGCGCCACAAAAAAATACAGGTCGAAATTCGTAAGATGAATCATGATATTCCTATATATTTTTCGACGCTGACTCTGAAGCCAGGGTTAGAAATGTTCGTAGATGCCTAGAATCCACCCCTGGGTCCAAAAACTATCCCTAGAAGGCGTGAAAATTGAGTTTCGGATGACAGATACTGGAGCATGGTATTTGTCGACGCTGACTCTAAATTTGTGGTCGAACAGATCCCTACATCGCTAGAGTTTAACCCCGTTCCAAAAACTTCCCCTAGTTGGGGTAGAAATTGAGCTTCGGATGCCAGATGCTATAGCAATTTGAATTTGAGGTAAACGAAATTTTACACCCCTGGGACCAAAAACTATCACTAACAAGGGGTAGAAAATTGACTTTCGGGTACTTTTTGGGTCCGGGGTATACTCTACACTTTTAGGAAATTCTTTGGTCCAGTTTTTAGATCCAGTGTCAAGGTAATACATATGAACATCATGTTCAGTCTCGCGGATCACGACCTTCCTTTTTTTGGGAGGATGTGTAATTTCTGTAAGATAAGTACCTTAACATAATAAGAAATGCGATAGATATTTCAAAAAAGTCGTTAAGTAATACTTTTCACGCTTCTTAAGTGAGAGTCAGACATAGCATTTTCTATGCTACTGTTGTAATTTGAACCGCGGACATTTTTGTATGTATTGGTAATGTTGTTCGTACTACATGTGCACATGTGCATTTTCATTCTGGATATACAAATAAAAATAAGCCAGATTTTAAGCCCTGAAAGTAGATTAAATTTCAAGTTGATCGTTTCACTGAAATTTTCGCATTTAAATATTTTAGAACACACCTATTTTAAACATTCAACGTCATTTTTATTTTCGTACCTTGTATTTCAAAAATCAAAAAGTCACCTATTTTGGAGAATTTGACTAGATTAGATATTTTGCATGTTTGCAACACTGTCCACTAAGCCACAAAACATACAGGGTGTTTCAGTTTATTGTTGCATAACTTCAAGATTCGATAGAACTTTTAAAATTAATGCATAAAGTCTATATAAACATGGGTCGAAAAATGCGTGGCTTCCGAAATACAGGGTGTTTAAATTTACTTTCTAAAATAGTTTTTTTTAAATATTTCGAACAATATTTGATGTATAACAGTGAAAATTGGTATACAAGGGTTTTTTGGTACGACAAAAGGAACCATAGTTTTACTGTAGCCGCTAGAGGGCACTCTCTACTGTACCTGTAGTGTATTAAAATGACCGAAAAAAATTTCTTAGTGCAATTTTTTGCTTTTTGAATAAGAAAAAATGATTCTTCGCACTTTTCAACATAAAAAAGCTCTCCTGTGAGTTTTCGTTATAGTGAGCCGTTTTTGAGATATTTCGATTTTTAAGGTTCGATGCATTTTTAATTATTTATATATATATTTATATAATATTTTTTTTTACATTTTCGATTTGGGAATTACAAGTAATTAAGATGATTGTTTAGATTGTGTTTTTAAACACAGCAATAATTCCTAACTCCAAATAAACATAAAAAAACAGAATATTAATTTGTTTAATTTTCCAATATTGTTTTTAACAAATTAAATTAATTATTTACAACTAAAATGCTATTGGATAGTTAGGACAAACATACAAAATCTAAAGTAGTTGCTCGAAATGTAAACCCAATTGTTCAATACACAATTCACATCTACGAATGATCGAACCTGGTATAGCATTATTCAAATAAGGCCTTATTTCATCACATGCATTCCTGATTCTGTCTATTAGCATATCTCTTGTGGTTACGGGAGTCTGGTACACTTTTTCTTTTAGAAATCCCCACACAAAGAAATCTAATGGATTTAGGTCAGGGGATCGTGGAGGCCAGGCGACTGGTCGTCCACGGCCGATCCGTCTTTCTGGATAATTTTCGTCCAGCCAGTTTCTAACTATTCTCGAATAATGAGCTGGACAACCATCAAGCTGGAACCAGGCCAATTATCTTAAATCTAACATAACATCCCACATATTTGCATGTTGAGCCTTTAAAAATTCCAAGAAGGTCGCAGCATTTAACCTTGCAGGCAAAAGGTAGGCTCCAAATAGTCGATTACGGTAGATACCAATCCACACGATCACACTAAATTCATGCTGAAAATTTCTTTCCCGAACTGCATGCGGATTTTCATGCGACCAAATATGTTGATTATGAAAATTTACCACTCCACGTCTAGTGAAGCATGACTCATCGGTCCATAAAACGTTACTTAAAAACTCCCTATTATTATCAGTTCTATCAAGAATCCACTGACAAAATGTGATTCTTCGTTCTCCGTCCCCTGGCTGTAGTCCTTGCACAGGTTGCAAATGGTAAGGACGTTTATGGTCATTTCTAAGAACACGGTGAACATGGCTTGCTGAAATTCCCAAGGCACCTAACACTTGTGGTCGGATCTCTATCAAACTCACGCAGAATCATACGGGTAAATCTGGGCTGACGAACATTTATGTTTTGATCCCCTTGGAGATTTCCAAAACCATTTTCAATTATTTGGCGATGCACTCTTACAAATACTGAGCGAGTTGGATGTCGTCTGTTTGGAAATCTTCGTGCGTATTCTCTGGCTACTTCTGCTGCGTTTCCATTTACAAAGCCATACACAAAATGAATATCCGCTAACTCTTGATTTGAGAATAAAAATGGCATTTTTATAAAACTTACAAAAAAAAACAGGTAAAAGAAACTAAATTTCGTGCATTCACAATTGCAAAAAAACGTTTCAGGTTTCAACAGACAACAAAACTAACTGTCAACTAATTGACGTTTAACCTTATTCTGCTTTCAGTTTCAAAAATATTTGCAGGCACAGCCTACTTCTAAAAATTATCGAGATACTGACTTTTTAACGTTATTTTATCATACATAATTAAAAATACATCGAACTTTAAAAATCGAAATATCTCAAAAACGGCTAACTATAACGAAAATTCACAAGAGAGCTTTTTTATGTTGAAAAGTGCGAAGAATCAGTTTTTTTATTCAAAAATCAAATAATTGCACTAAGAAAAAATTGTCGGTCATTTTAACACACTACAGGTACAGTAGAGAGCGCCCTCTAGCGGCTATAGTAAAACTATGCCCATGGTTCGTTTTGTCGTACCAAAAATCCCTTGTATACCAATTTTCACTGTTATACATCAAATATTGTTCGAAATATTTTAAAAAAACTATTTTAGAAAGTCAATTTAAACACCCTGTATTTCGGAAGCCACGCATTTTTCGACCCATGTTTATATAGACTTTATGCATTAATTTTAAAAGTTCTATCGAATCTTAAAGTTATGCAACAATAAACTGAAACACCCTGTATATGTATATGTTAAAATAAATTGTGGCAAAAACAAAAGTTGAAGTATCGTTATAACTGTGTATTGCTTTGTTTCAACTTTTTTTCTTAACGTAATCCCAGTTTTGTATCTCAATGTGTTTAATCATAGAGTAGAAAGTGTTGAAACCATACGCTAGTATGAAAATAATACGATAAATATATAGGGGAAGTGGAAGAGCACCCTGTGGTGAACTCCCCTTATTTAGGCATCTCTTTCGCATTTATTCTGTTGTATACATATCGTATTTGTAACCCTGAATGTCAAAAATAAAAGCAGTGAAAAATTTCTTTTGTAAAAATACATACGCTCTAAAATGCTTAAATGCAAAAATTTCATAGATGCGATCAACTTAAAATTTGAGTCAATTTCAAAGCCAAAACAATCACAACTCCAGCAATCTGTATCCCGGTACGGGAGCATTTTACAACTCATGTGTATAGGACATTTTCATTGTTATTTTTGGATTTTGGACATTCACTTCCTACTCCTGAAATGTTATCAGTTTTCTTAATAACCCTATACGTTTCGAAGTTCAAAGCTATCGATGTTAAGTTTGACAACTCCCGAATTATAAAAAAAACTTAAGCTTGCTGACAAAAATTTTATTAACACAGTTGTCAGTGATGGTATGAACTATTTTCATTAGTTCACCTATTCGCTCTTATCCACTATTGTTTTGGTCATATCTGCTCCATATCCGTTAATATGAAATCAATACTGTGTGAATAGAAATAGTATCTTGTATCAATTAATCTACGCCGATAGTTTATATACACTGCTGGCTGCAAGTAACTACTATATAAATTACAACTGCTATACATCCGTACAGCATAGCATTTAGTTTTTCATTTCCTAGCGTAAAAAATGCATTTCAAATAAATGACTAAACATCAGCTTGACACAGCACAAACTTTACAAACTGTCACTATTTTGTCTACAGAAGAAAAGTGCACTAATTGAATCTGAAATTATTATTGGTACCTGGAGATACAATAATAAAATGATATTAAAAACCACGTAAAAAAGTAATCCATCGTAGTTGTCAATAATTTTATCACCCAGATCACAATATATCTGCTTGTTGGTAACTCCAAGTCTGAGCAAATTGAGTTTAAAATTCTGCATTTTTTTCGAACTAATATAAATGCATGGTATTATTACGACAGAACAGTTAATAAATATCGCAAAGTTAAATAACTTTATAGTCATTTAAATGTGATATCGGATCACAATTGTTGTAGAGTCCTAAAATAAATGACATTCCGTCTTCAATTGTTGTAAATCAAACAGCAGTAACATGTAATTTACTGCTTTTATACTCTTCAAAAAGAATTTTACTGTGTTTTTCGTAGTTTTTATAATCGATTATTTTTTCAAGGGAAAAAGGCAGTCATGCAGAATGTTAATTTATATTCATATAATATGTTCATATTGCAATTCACACACCCAAAAGTAAACCTTCTCAACATCTAATAATTCAATTTAATAATTATATAGTTATTAAATTCAAACAAAAATGACCATATGAATAAAATAAGAAAAGCATGTTTTCTTATGTTAAGCTAAATGATTAATCTTTCTCAAAATTATTCTTTAAAAGTAAAAGTAATTATTTATAACAATAAATACTTATTCACAGATAATAGAATTATTACAAAAATAAATATTTAAATAAATGAACATCAAAATACGTTATAAAAGAGTAAACATGCAATACTTGTATCATATAGAGAATAAAGGCAGTATAGTTTGAGGACTACTGCTTTTTTGCTTTGATAAACTAATTAAGTGCTTTTATGCTTGGGAAGCGTAGTTAATATGAAATAGCATATATTATAAGAAAGTGAAAAACCAACTATTTTTGTTATATAACATGATCAATGGATGCATTTTATAACTTTAATCATAGCCAAAGATTTAAAAGAAGCAGTAATACTTTGCTGCCTTTTACCTAAGGACGGCAATATACGGGTAGTTAACGAAATATTTGTCTTTAAGGGCGATATTAAGAAAGAAGCCACCCCTCCATCCAGTTCCGACTCGAACTTCACCGACCCCCAAACGCCAATGGGTTTCGATCAGAGTGAAGAATCCATCCATTTGGACGTCGAAGTGCCAAGTACCATCACTGAAAGTTTCCTTCACGATTTAACACTTAACAGGTGAATTTACGAACCGACACCAATATTAGCCATAGCCGTTTATAACAACGTGGCGCTACTGTGGCGATAATGTTTTTTTGTTTTCTGCTGAATGCACATAATCACTTTGAACGCTACCGGTGTTGTCGCCATTTTTTTATAATATCCAAATTATGCTCCGCTCTTGATCAAATGTTACATCAAATAATAATACGTGTATAATAATATAATACTCAGTGACATTAGAAGTGTTACCCCAGAAAAAAATATTTATTCAACTTGATTTTTTGGCAATGAGGTAGTCTTACATCAAGAATGAAACGATAACATTCACACGATAACAAATTTTATTGACAATTAGAAAAAAAATTAATAATGTGTTGGGGGACCACGCAGCTGAATACACTCCTGTACACGTCTAGGCATCGACAACTTCGTAGATTAGCTGTGTCAGATTATGTGGATGATGGTGCAAAGTGGCTAGTCTCCTCCCCATCATATCCCAAACGTGTTCGATGGGATTTAAATCCTGTGAACGGGATGGCAACGGCCAAATGTTAACACTGAGTATAGAATACTCAATATTATTATAATATTAACAATAGTAACATTGCAGGTAGCATTACCTCCTTAACACACTTTAAAAAATGCAATACCAAACATATCGTGCTTGCAAAGACTTTTTAACAGTGTTTAAGTTTTTGGAAATATGTTAAATGATAAAAATGGTTTAATTTGAATGAAACTATGCACGCCGTTCGGCGTATGCCACAGGAAGCCGTAATTAAATTTTTACATGAAAACATTTGCTGTAATGCTAGATCCCGCTAATAATATTTTGGGACACTACCATGCCGTATAACATTCATTCTCTCAGTCGTCGGCGTATGCTTCGGAGGCGGTTATTTTATGTTTTGTTGAGGTATCTGACACCTAGCTAGATGTTCTTGATCCCAAAGGGCTGCTAGCGCATCATATAGCAGACACGTTCATCATGGGTAACATAACCTATATACTCGTAAAATAAAGGTTTCTAATTGAACTGGTTGTTTTTCGGGCGACGTTGCCAGAATAGGAATTGGTGTCACAACACATTATTGTACACGGTGTCTAAAATCCGGAACCCCACGATAGTTTGACGGTTTGAAAAACTTATCCCGGTGACAGATCTGCATTTTTCCCGGCTATCTAATGGGGACTTCAATATAAATTTTGATAATCAAGATTTTTATGTGAAAATTTAAACAGGTACTGAACTTTCAAGGTCTATGGCAAAAAGTTAATGACTACACAAGGATTACAAACTTTTCACGAACTAAGATCGATTTAATAATAACCAATAAACAGAATTTGAGCATTACATACTCCAAAAATAAGCGACTATTCGTGGATATATTTCGAGGTGGAAAATCTGTTTAATGAGAGAGAATCAAGAAAAATCACAATTATTGACTTTGAACCGTTACGAGAGTTACTCTTACAAGCCAATATCACTGAAACTTTTAATGATGACACTTACTTCGCAAAAATTATGTATTGTATGGAAATCTGCATGGGAGACGCACAAATTAGGAAATTGGTATATCAAAGGAAAAAGCCAACACTCTGGTTTTTACAAATATTTCTAGACTCGACTAAATTGACCAGTGATAATGACTATAAAAAGTTTATGATCACTCAAACTGAGGAAGATTGGTTACTATATAAGAAATCAAGAAACAAGTGTTTAACAAATCTTATGACAAGAAAATCGATAGCAATAAAAATAACAGTAAAGTGATGTGGAAGACACTAAAAAATATTGTATCTCCCAGTAGGAAGAATGAATTATCAAAAATTTGCCTCGAAGATGGTATAGTAACACAAAAAATATTGATTGCAGAACGAATGAACGCTTATTTAATAGAAAGTATAAATGGGACAGTGGAAACAATCGAAGATGGGGATCCAAATCTATGTCACATGCAAGTTACTTATAATTCTTCTATGAGACAATTCCAAACAATAAATATCAGCCATCTTTCAAAAGCTATTACAAGATTGAAATCGAATAGAAATCCTAGAGAACATCTTTCAAAATTGGTTATGAAGGAATGTTTCAACATTATTGGAGAGAATTTATTATTGTTAGTGAATCACTGTTTAGTGTATGGCGAATTTCCTTCAAAATTAAAATGTTCTACAATTACTCCTGTTTCAAAAGTGCAAAATTCTGAGTTATACTCGTATACAAACATGCGGAAAATTAATGTACTGCCAGATGACGAGAAGCTCTTAGAAGGAATCATATATGAACAAGTCATTGAATATGTTGAAGAAAATAAGATATTGACAAAGTTTCAAGCAGGATTCAGAAAAAGGTTTTCTACTGACACAGCAACTCAAATGGTAGTACAAGAATGGAAGCGAAATATGGATGAAAAAAAGTTTACAATAACATTGTTCTTAGATTTCAAGAGAGCATTTGAGACTATTGACAGGGAGAAATTGTTAACAAAATTTCATTGCTATGGATTTCAATGTTCAGTATTCAACTTACTACAAAATTATTTGATCAATAGAAGTCAAAGAACTAAAATTGGCAATACATTATCAAACATTAAAAACATTTCGGTACGTGTGCCACAGGGTAGCAAATTAGGTCCATTACTATATATTAACGATATTCCTGATTTTTTACAACACTGCAAAATTCAACTATTTGCAGATGATACATTAATATATATGTCACATAAAGACATTGAAACTCTAATAGAGATATTAAATAATGATATGAAAAACGTAATAAATTGCTTAAATGTAAATAAACTTAAACTAAACACAAACAAAATAAAATATATGCTAATAGGAAAATCTTTAGATCAAAATACGATAAATCTTACAATTAATCATGAAAAAATTGTGTCAATCGAGTCTTTTAAATATTTGGGCATATACGTAGACAGTAAATTAAAACTTGAAGAGCACTATGAATATATTGTTTCAAAAATATCCAAGAAAATAAATTACTTTTATAGAATTTCGCATAGCCTAACCGTCTATTCTAAAAAAAATGGGTACAACACTATCATTCTTCCTCATTTGTTATATTGTTCGACTATCTTGTTCACTGCAAATGAGACTGTATTTTCAAAATTACAAATATTACAAAATAAAGCTATGAGAATCATCTTAAATAAAAATAGATATACTAGAATAAATTTTATGCTGAAAGAACTACAATAGTTAAATATCAAAAATTTCATAGCCTACTTAGTTTTCATTTACATATTATAATAATAATTATAACGCCTTTATTTGTTGTACAGGTGAGGGACAAAGATAGCGAAGTTTAACCTAGGCTACTCTTACACTTAACTATCTTTGTCAGTACATTTAGAGTACGATGTAATGTGCGTTGCCTAAGATGTTATAAAAACAAGTTAAAAAATCGTCTTTTACCAAATCATTTAGAAAATTTTATTGTATTGAACAATGAGTGCCACAATTATTCTACTACAGGAAATATAGAGTTTCATTTACAAAATTGCCGTAGCAATATAACGAGCAAGTCAGTATTTCAAAAGGGATTGTACGAATTAAATAAATTAAGTAATGATACCAAGATGTGTGTCAGTTTGAAAACGTTCAAAGGGAAATTGAAAAAATATCTCATGGAAAACCAGAATTCATACGTATAAAAATCTGTAGTCTTGAAGACATAACATATTTTGTGATATACTGTGTAATATGGATATTATTGATATTGTAGCATGAATGCTAAATAAATCTGAAACAAACAAACAAACAAAAAACTGTGGATATGACCTTCTTAAATTTTGACCTTAGGATGTCATGTTCAAGGTCAATTCCAGCTGCGGTGATATTACTTGAAAGCCCGCAGACGCATAGGGAAACTACCGAAACATTGTTTTCGTGATTTTTCCCCGGATATCTCATGGTGAACTTGGATATCACCTTAACCACGATGACCTTCAAGGTCGTGTGAAGGACAAGTCGATTTTTGTAGGCAGGGAACAATCCCGAATGAACATCAGTGAAGTCAGTTTACCTGGGGATCACAGTTTTCTGAATTATCAAGAAAGTAAGTTAAACTCGTATCTGAACTTGACGGTCAAGTCGATGATCATGTTCCAAAATTGGTCAAGAGCATATTTGAATATAAAATTTTACCTTTTCTCCATTTCCGCAGTCAGAAGTGTAGGGTCCCATTAAAAAAGAGTTGACCTTCAAATGATGTTGTTGATCATGCCCAAGGTCAGATTCAAGGAGACCATTGGACATCCGGAGAAAAATCGTGAAAATAATGTCTCAGTAGTTTCCCTATATGACTACTGTCTTTCAGAGTTATATCGCAGTACGTGAGTTTGATCTTGAACATGACCTAAGGTCAAAATTCAAGAATGATCTAGACAATATTTGAGGTCAGAAATGGGAGCGTCCATCTAAAAAATCGACTTGACCTTCAAATAGCCTTGAAGGTCATGTTCAATGTCAAAATCCAAAGTCACTATTGGACAGCTAGGGAAAACTACTATTAATATAGAGGCTTAATTTTTTCTACCATCACAAATTATCATGGGCTTTCGGAACTTTTCAGATATAGCGATACCGCAATTGTTTTCACTTAGGCAAATTTTATGGTGAAAGTCTTATGGAGTATTTAAGCGATGAGGAAACCAAAAATTGTGTAGTGAATAGACAACCTCATACAATATTAACCACATGTTCAATGCCTAATGCGATAAAATTATAAAAAGCTTGTTTCCATTTCTATATAATATAATATTCAAATTTAAACATAAAGCTGAAGAACAACCAAAATGAACAATTACAACTAACTTCTTCACGTTAAATATCTGGGAATGTATCTAGATTCTACCCTTAAATGGGACACGCACATACATTTCGTAATTAAAAAATTGGGTACAATACTTTACAAATTTAAATATCTTATGAAATAGTATGACTTCTAACAAATGAAAGTACTCTATTATTCACTAGTTGAGAGCCATTTGGGGTATGTTGTGATCGCGTGGGGGCAGCGTGTAAGACACATGAAAGATTTTGAGACAATACAAAAGAACATTCTAAAGGTAATATATAATAAGCCAAGAACATACCCAACAGAACAATTATATACCGAAATTGCAATGCATGATATTCGACAACTATACTTCATCCAGACCATCATGAAGCAGCACCAACTAAAACATAAGTTACGTCAAACAGACCATGACTATGATACGCGCCATAAAGTGAGAGCATGTTTACCAAAGCCTCATGTCAATGTCATGCAGAGATCATTCCAATACCCAGGACCGAAGCTTTGAAATAGTTTGCCTATTATCTTAAAATAGTATAATTCTATGCAGTTTAAAAAAGAACTACACTTTTGTGTGTGATTAATGAAATACCTCGCCTCCACATACATCAGCTAATTCTTTCAAATATATATAAAAAAGATTAAAACCTTTTTTTTAAACTGTCAAGGAATTCTTTTAAAAGTTCTTAATATATACATAAGGTTAAGCATATCCTAGAATCTAATTACGTTTTTCTTTTTTCGACCTACCTATACTTTTTGTTATCCGAATTTAAATATACTAAAATATGTCGCTTACTATAACAAAGCCCATTAAAAATCAGATGGCAAAGGCAAACATACGAGAAAAAATTGTTAAGTCATTGGCCTGCATTTGACATTTTTTAAGCAAAATTTGAGGTATAGGATGACATACACAAAATGTATTTAGAATCTTAAGTGAAATCGAAAAATCGAATAGTATATAGGGTGTTCCATTTAGAATGAGCAGGCTGGAATCCACGTCCGGTACAACCATGAGTTCCACCATTTTGAAAATATTTTAGCTGGATTGCTCCCTTCCAATCCAAATTTCCATATTTCGTATAATTTTTAAAGTAATCGATCGCGACAGTTCCACGTGGGACACCCTGTATATTGAGTAGAACCGTTGCTGAATCTTCTTTCCCTCTTTTTGGTCGGTCACCGAAATCTCGAACAGTTTCAAACTGAACGAGTACCGCAACCGACTGGAAGAAGAAAAGACCAAAAAGCTCAGCAAACTGGGAGTGTCCAAGACGAGCCAAATCAGCTTGGACAGCACTTGTCCTTCCGACAGTTTCGTCACGGACAACGTAGAGGTGGTGAACGAAACGCTGCTCAGGGAGATCGGTCTAGAGTATTCAGCTCTAGAAAGGGAGGACACGCTCAAACGGATAGGATACAGCCAGGAGTTAGATCAGGATGAAGATGCAAGGAGTGTCAAAGATACTGTTAAGAGGATGTCTAATGTTGGTCCAAGCAATGGTAAGCAGCTAGTACGAGTTTTCTTCTAAACAAAACTCAAATGTTGATCTTTACTATACGTACAAAGTTTGACCCGAAATATGATGTACATAAAGAATTCAGGTTCAACCATTTGACTGTACAACAGTTTGGGGAATTGTCACAAAAAAAGATTATAAAACGGTGAAACATCAAAAGCGCAGAACAACAAACAAATCGCAAAAAAGAAGATGCACAAAGAAAACAGCTTTTGGTAAAAAGAGCCAATATTTACGAACATGTTTGTAATTTGTCCTGAAAAAATTCGTGAAGGGAGTAATAGGGGTGAAAAACCAATAAATCCTCAAGGCGTCTACCGAAAAGTTGTATTGTCATGTTATTTCTAACTGAAGTTGGTAGGTGATTATAACTACTACTAACTAGAGAGATATGCAGTTTAATTTTATACCTTGTATTCCTAAGATGAATATCATAGTTATTTTTGAATTTTATTGTTTTTATAGATGTAAATACTGATTACTGAAGAGTTATAATGTTGAAGTTCTTAAACAGCATCCTATACAATGATTTGTTTGAGATACCAGCAATAACCCTGATAATCTTGTGAGATAAAAACTGGATCTACATCGATGTTCCCAAATTCAAAAATCCCGCGGGATTGATAGACGGGCTTCACCACTTAACATAATATTATATACGTATAACTTTGCGAAAGCTATACTAAGTGACATATAACTCCAAACACCCAGTTTAAATGGTTTTATTTTAATAAAATTTTGTATAAGTACTTAATGAAGCATAATAAGTAAATGATAAAAATTTCAAAATGATTGCACTGCTTTAAATCCCTTTGACCTTTAATAATGTGTGGATACACTCTGATGTGCTACGCATTCTCCAACGCGCCTAGGCATGCTTCTGATCAGGTGGTCAATGTCCTCCTGTGGTATCTCATTCCAGGCAACCACCTACTCCTCTCGAAGTGCTTCTAGAGTCTGAGGAGGACGTTGCAAATTGAGCAATCTCCTACCCATCATATGCCACACGTGCTCAATTGGGGATAAGTCGGGAGATCTTGGTGGCCATGGTAACAATGTGACATCATTATGTTGAAAGAAGTCTATTGTGACTCTTGCAACATGTGGTCGGGCATTATCTTGTTGGAAAGTTGGATCTGCGCGTTCATGTTACCTCTGATGAAGATTAAAGGTGACCTGGAACCATAAGCTATAGCACCCCAAACCATAACTCCAACAGTGTGATGAACATGTCTTTCAACAAAAAACTGTGGATTCCTCCTTTCACCACGTCGCCTTCTAACCCTGGCACGACCATCGTGCATGCCTAAACAAAATCGAGACTAGTCACTAAAGACAATACTGTTCCATTCCTGATCCCAGAGTGACCGTTGTCTGCACCACTCAAGGCGATTACGTCGGTGTTCTCGAGTTAAAGGGAGGACCCAGTGTGACCGGTATGAAAACAAGCCAAAACTTCTCATTCGTCGGTAAACACTTCGCATGCCAATAGGTCTTCCGTGTTCTGCAAACCATTCATTTGCAATGGACCTGGTAGTGGAAAAACGGTCCCTTAAGGCCAATAATCTTAGGCGGCGATCTTCACGGTCTGTTGTTCTACGGCGGCGTCCAGTGCCCCTTGCTCTTTGCGTACGGCCTTCTCGAAGCCATGCCTGACAACACCTAACCACAGTGTCTGCACTTCTTTGCACTTTAACTGCAATTGCCCGAAAAGAAAGTTCAGCTTCCCAAAGTCGCACTATACGGCCCCTATCAAACTCACTAAGTTGACGAAATCGTACAGGTCTCCGTACTCTAGGCATCGTAACCGATCGTAAAGGATGTCAAGAACCAAAATCCGCCAACGTTGATTCTTTACTGCGGCTGAAATATTCATTTTTAGAGCGTTAGTGAATTAAAAAAAAGCAGTATAAAAACCGGAATGTCCAACTGATAAGGCTGAAAATTTTTTCACTTGTTATTTACAGTAAGATAAATACATTCACCAACTTTTATTAAAATAAAACCATTTAAACTGGGTATTCGGATTTATATGTCACTTAGTATACAATGCTTTTTAGTCTAATTCATTGTTGTAACTTTGTGCCATTTCCCCACAATCTAAGTGATTCTATCTGGATCAATTCTCAAAAACAGTAATATTTCTTGTTCTCCCCATAGTTATAGCTATTGCCAAAATCTTACTCAAATTAGCAGAAACTTATGACCTATACTCAGTGTTCCATTTTAATCTCCTGACTACTACCTTTAAGGTCATTTCAAGCTCAAGTAAATATTATCAAACAGAACCCCCTTTCTCACATCGGAATTGAAAAGAAAAGCAGATTTTACACCCGATCATCACATTGTCCGTGACCTTGACCACTGCCTTCAAGGCCATTTCAATTTCAAATAAAAACATCGAAACAAATTCGCTATAGCAAAAATATTTGACAGCACACTTGTGAGGTTTGTGAGGATCTCCCGAAAGTGAACTTGACCAAGTCAAAATTTCCAAAGGAAACCTCCCATTTCTGTACTGGAAATGGAAAAGCAAGTAATTTTACGTTCGAGAATGACATTGACCTCAAATAACAGTTAAGTTTAACACGATCTTGACTTTGAGGACAAGGTCACATTCGGACGTAGCATTTCCTGCTTTTTCCATTCCCAGTCGAAATATGAGAGATTTCCTTTGGAAATCTTGACTCTATTATTATTGTGTTGATGTTGCGCTTTCACTAGGTAGGCATTGGTAGACAAATGAGTCAAAAATGTGCACTAAAACTAAGCAAAATCGGCGACAAACTATGCAATGTAATCTATTCGGTTTCGTTGATGAGTTTCCGTGACGCCGAAATTTTTTTCACAATAGTTCAGTTTATACGTGGACATAAAAGGGTCTGTGGGCTGAAAGTCGGATGCTCAAAAATCCTATTTTCTGGAGGGTCGTAAACAAAATAATCTAAGAAATTTCATTTATGTACTATTCGTTGTTGTTCATCAGAGCGGTCAGGTGGACCTTTGCTCTTAGTTGAAAGTCTTGTCGGTCTGTTCGTCTATCAGGTCTGGCTACCCAGACCCATGTTTAAGGGGAAAAGGGACAGAAGACAGAAAGAAATACAGCAAAAAAAAGAAGTAAATCATTTTAAATTAAATAAACCACAATTATAAAGGAGGCTAAATTAAAATTTATTAAAAATGAAGTTGACAAAAATCTTCGGCCAAAATGTGGCAATTCATAGAAAAATGCAACATTCTCAAAAATGCCAAGAAATTCCTGCTGAACAAAAAGAAAATGGGGGACTTACAAACAGCGATATTGAAACAGGCAATGAATTTTATAAATATTTTTCTGAAGTTGGTGAGAATCTGGTAAAAGACATTTCAAATGAAACAAAACTTATATATACGAAAACCATATTGCAAAATTCCCTGTATCTGACACAGACAGGTCAATACGTTATTGAACATATCATAAATTCCGACACAATTAAAAAAGGCAATAATTAAACCTATATTTAAATCTGGAGATAAACAGAAACCTTGTAATTTTCGCCCAATTTCAGTATTTACAAACTTTTCAAAAATGTTCGAAAAAATTCTTAAAAAACTCTTTTCAGATTTTATTGCAAAATAAAACCTCATATCTGAAGAGCAATATGGATTCCATGAAGGAAAATCAAGTCAAGATGCACTTATTCAGTAAAAAACCAAAATTTACAAGTACGTTGATAATAATAAGTGAACAGCATGCCTTTTTGTAGACCTAACCAAAGCATTCGATAGTATTACACATCAAAAATTATTAAGAACCTTGCAAAATTTAGGATTTCGTGGAGTCACAGGACACATTGTATGAACATCAACAGTACACTGAGTGAAAATATGATTGTTACATGCGGAGTTCCACAAGGAACCGTATTAGGACCAATGCTGTTTAATTTATATATTAATGATATTTTTAAGTTAAAATACGATGGAGAAATTATTGGTTTTGCAAACGATACGGCAATTATTTACTCAGACGAAGATTGGACTTCTTTAAAAAACAAAATTGTATTAGATTTTCAAAAGGTTAAAAATTTTTTCACGAAAAGGATTTTACAGTCAATTTCAACAAAACATACTTTATTATATTTTCTTGCGACAACAGATCTTCCCCAAATTTTAATCAACTCCAAATTAAAACGTTGAATAGCTGTAGAAACATACAATCGGTTGATAATTTCAAATACATAGGGGTATTCATAAATAACCATCTCAGATTCATTAAACATATTGAAAATTTAGTAAGAAAATTAAAATACCTTATTCCGAAAGTCAAATATTTCAGCAGTTTTTTAAGCAAAAGATATCTACACATGATATATCATGCCCTTGTTCAATCATTACTACCTTACGGAATCTTAGCATGGGGGGGAGTCATGAGTAATTATTATAAAAGGATTGAAATTACGCCGAGGTGGTTTTTGAAAGTTATGTTGAACAAAAAGAAATGTTATCCCTCAGAAAACCTTTACAATGAATCTCAGCTCTTCGACTGCCGGCAAATTTATTTTTATCATACAATAATATATACTAAGTGACATATAAATCCGAACAGCCAGTTTAAATGGTTTTATTTTAATAAAAGTTGGTGAATGTATTTATCTTACTGTAAATAACAAGTGAAAAAATTTTCAGCCTTATCAGTTGGACATTCCGGTTTTAATACTGCTTTCTTTTAATTCACTAACGCTCTAAAAATGAATATTTCAGCCGCAGTAAAGAATCAACGTTGGCGGATTTTGGTTCTTGACATCCTTTACGATCGGTTACGATGCCTAGAGTACGGAGACCTGTACAATTTCGTCAACTTAGTGAGTTTGATAGGGGCCGTATAGTGGGACTTCGGGAAGCTGGACTTTCTTTTCGGGCAATTGCAGTTAGAGTGCAAAGAAGTGTAGACACTGTGGTTAGGTGTTGTCAGGCATGGCTTCGAGAAGGCCGTACGCAAAGAGCAAGGGGCACTGGACGCCGCCGTAGAACAACAGACCGTGAAGATCGCCGCCTAAGATTATTGGCCTTAAGGGAC